AGCCGGGCGTGGTAGCACACGCCTGTAGTTCCAGCTACTTGGAAGGCTGAGCAGAAGGATCGCTGGAGCCCAGCAGGTCGAGGCTGCGGTGGCCGGGAACGGCCCCTGCACTCCAGTCTGGGTGACAGAGTGAGACTCCAACTCAAAAAAAAAGGAAAAGAAAAGAAAAGAAAAGATCTGGGGTAGAACCTTTTTTTTTTTCTTAAGAAGCAGAGTCCTGCTTGGTCACCCAGGCTGGAGTGCTGTATCACAATCACAGCTCACTCAACTTCAAACTCTTGGGTTCAAGCAACCCTCTCACCTCAACCTCCTGAGTAGCTGAGATTATAGGCATGCACCACCACACCTGGCTATTAAAAAAATGTTTGGCCTGGCATGGTGACTCATGCCTATAATTCCAGCATTTTGGGAGGCCAAGGTGAGAGGATTGCCTGAGCCCATGGGTTTGAGACCAGTCTGGGCAACTTGGCAAGACCTCATCTCTACAATTAATCAAAAAATTAGCCAGACGTGGCATCACATGTCTGTAGTTCCAGCTACTTGGAAGGCTGAGGTGGAAGGATCACTTGAGCCCAGCAGGTCAAGGCTGTGGTGGCCGTGAGCATGCCATTGCACTCCAGCCTGGATGACAAATTTTAAAAAAAAGCAACTTATTTTTTTAAGCCAGGCACAGTGGCTCACACCTGTAATCCCAGCATTTTGGGAGGTGGAGGCAAGAGGATTGCCTGAACCCAGGGGTTTGAGACCAGCCTGGGCATTTAGTGAGACCTCATCTCTACAATAAATAAATAAATAAAATTAGCCGGGTGTGGTGGTACGTGCCTGTGGTTCCAGTTACTTGGAAGGCTGAGGTGGAAGGATCGTCGGAGCCTAGCAGTTCAAGGCTGTGGTGGGTGTGAGTGTGCCAGTGCACTCCAGCCTGGGAGACAGAGTGAGACTCCAACTCAACAACAACAAAAATTTTTTTTGAAGAGACAGGTCTCACTCTGTTGCCCAGGCTGGTCTTGAACTCCTGGCCTCAAGTGATCCTTCTGCCTCGGGCTCAAAACTTTTGGGGGAGGGGAGCAGCAAGGGCAAAGCCCCTGAGGTGGGAGTAACATTGGCATGCTCAAGGAATGGAGTTATTTCTGTGTGGAGAGTGTAGAGAACAAGAGGGAGGATGTGAGAGGACAGGACGGTCACCAGGGGCTGGACCTGGTGGGCCTGGGGTCACAGGAAGGAGTTTGAAATTTGTTGTAAGTCCATGGAGGACTTTTAAGCAAAAGAGGAACATTGTCTCATTTATATTTTTAGTTTTATTTTATTTTATTTTTATTTATTTATTTTTTTGAGTTGGAGTCTCACTGTCGCCCAGACTGGAGTGC